AGAAGGATGATGAGGAAGAGGAGGAGAAGGATGATGAGGAAGAGGAGGAAGAGGGTGTGACTGGGAAGATGCAAAGTCGTGGTGGTGGGGGTGTGAGGCGTGAGAGGGAGAGGAATGGGATGGTGGGGGAGCAGCAGCAGGTGCCTGCGCTGTTTGTGGTGGCGGTTAAAGAGAAGAGCTATGACCCGTCCGTGTGGGATGTGGGGAGGAGTGAGGAGGAGGAACCGAGATTTAGTGGCGAGGAGAAGGGAACGAGAGTGGGTGATGAGGAGGAGGAAAAGAGGGTGAGTGATGAGAAGGGAATTAGGGGAAGTGACAAGGAGGAGGAAAAGAGGGTGAGTGGAGAGGAGGGAGGTAGGGGGAGTGATGGGGAGGAGCAGAAAGGGATATGTGATCTGGAAGGGCAAGAGGAAGAGAGAAGGAGAAAGAAGAGACACGTGTCATTTGCAAGTGACTCGCTGGGACCTGATGCGAGTGGTGCTGACGTGGATGCTGCTGATGTGGACGGTTGTGACATGGCAGGTGCCGACGTGGCAGGTGCTGACACGGGAGGAGGTGCTGACATGGATGGTGTGGATAAGGGACGACAGAAAGAAGCAGTGACCCTTGATCCTTCCACCTCCCCTTCCACGTCTGCTGCACGCACGCACCCTCACCACCCTTCACCTGGCCCCACTCACTCCCACCACTCACCACCCCCTCCGTCTCATACCTATTCAACCAACCATCCTTCACTCACAGCAGTCACTGCAAGCATCCCAGTCCCTGCAGTCACTGCAAGCACTCCTCCCATTGAAACGCCTCTCAGTGTCAGTGACATTCCTCTTATTGAAGTGCTACAGCCGCGGGCCCGTGAGTATGGCGATTACCGCGCCTCCCAGGGCTGGGACCGACACATTCTCCCCATCTGCCTCGCCCTGCCTGCCGCTGCCCCTGCCCCTGCCCCTGCTGCTGCTGCTGCTGCCCCTGCCCCTTCTGCTGCTGCTGCCAGTGCTGCTGCCAGTGCTACTGCTTTTGGTGTTCTTGCGGGTGCTGGTGCTGCTGCTGACGATGGTAGGGTGAGCATTCAGTATGTGAGGAAGCGCAAGGGAATGGAGAGTTCTGCTGGCGCTGCTGCTGCTTCTAATGCTGCTGCTGCTGCTTCTAATGCTGCTGCTGCTGCTTCGAATGCTGCTGCTGTTGCTTCTGCTGCTGCTGCTGCTGCTGCTGCTGCTGCTGCTGCTGCTGTTGCTGCTGCTGCTGCTGTTGCTGCTACTGCTGCTGTTGTTGCTACTGCTGGTGCTGGTGCAGTTGCTTCTGTTGCTGCTGCTGCTGTTACTGCTGTTGCTGCTGTTGGTGCTACGGCTGGTGCTGGTGCTGTGGCAACCACGAACAAGCAGGCAGGGGAGGAAAGAGAAGCGAAGCGAGCGAGGAGGGGCGATAATTCTGAGGAGCAGACTGGAGGTCAGCAGCAAGAGGTGCAGGGGGGGCAGGAGAAGCAGAAGCAGCAGGGGGACAAGGAAGCAAACGGGGATCAGTTGGGGACGAAGGGGGAGCAGTTGGGGGAGGAGGAGCAATTGGAGGAGAAGGGGGAGAAATCTGGCGGAAAGGGGGAGCAATCGGAGAAGGACAAATTGGGGGGAATGGGGGAGCATTTGGAGGAGAAGGGGGAACAAGACGGGGAGGATTGGGGGAAGCTTCTGGGCGACCAGTTGAAGCATGTTGAGCCAGTCATTCCCGCTATGGCAGGCAAAAATGGAGGACCGTTTGTGCTTTCTATCAAGAGAAAGAGACAAGAAGGGAGGAGGCGTAAAAGAGAAGTGGGCTGGGGTGCCGAGCTTGGGTTTGAGAGGGATGGGCAGGAGGAGGGAGGGAAGGAGAAACACATTGAAGGTAGTTTCCGGGAGAATAAGCACTTGGAGAATAAGAGACGCTTAGTTGTGAAACTCTCGAAAGTGGGATTGGAAACAGAGCAGCAGGACAGGGATGAAGCCGATGAGATTCTGAGAGCAGTCGAGGATGATTGTGATGGGGTGAGCGATAGAGAGGGGGGTAGCGAGGAGAGGAAGAAAAAAAGGGGCAGGGAGGAAAGCGAGGAGAGTGAGGAGCTTGGGGGGAGTAGAGCAAAGAGGAGGCAGGTTGGGAAGAGGAGTAGGGCGAGGAGCAGGCGAGTGACGGGGAGTGGGGCAAGGGGGAGGGGGAGTGGGGCAAGGGGGAGAGGGAGCGGGGCAAGGGGGAGGGGGAGCGGGGCAAGGGGGAGGGGGAGCGGGGCAAAGGGGAGGGGGAGCGGGGCAAGGGGGAGGGGGCGAGGGAGGGTGGTGGAGGGGGAGGATGAGGGTGCGGGGGTTGAGCAGGAGGAGGAGGAGCAGGAGGAGGAGGAGCAGGGGGAGGAGGAGCAGGGGGAGGAGGAAGAAGAGGAGGAGGAGGAGGAAAAAGAGGAGGAGGTGGAAGAAGAGGAGGAGGAGGAGGAAAAAGAGGAGGTGGAAGAAGAGGAGGAGGAAAAAGAGGAGGTGGAGGATGGGGATGGGGAAGAGGAGGTGGAGGAAGAGTTTGAGGAGCTTTTTGAGATTGATGGGGAGGACAGAGGATGGGGCATGTTTGGTGGAGGAACGCGAGGAAGGCGAGGGAAGAGAGCAGCTAGGGCGAGACGAGACAGTGGCACCAGTGGGGAGGTAACTCACTCTTTCTACGATGATGGGCAGGGGAGGAGCAGGATGACAGCTGAGGAGGTGGAGGGGCGTGGAGAGGAGGAGGGGAGTGGTGATGAGGAGGGGAGTGGAGAGGAGGGGAGTGGAGAGGAGGGGAGTGAAGGGGAGGACGGGTGGGGTGGGAAGGAGGAAGTGAGTAGCATGGGAGGGGAGGGGAAGCGAGGGGAGAAGAAGCAGACGGGGTTGGAACTTTTAATGAGGCGAGCAAGTGAGAAGGATGAGAAGGACGGAGAGAAAGGGGCGGAGGAGGGTGGGAAAGGGTTGATAATGGATAATGCAGGGGAAGGGGTGATGGATGGTGTAGTGCGGTTGAGAAGCACAGAGGAGGTGACTAACGCTGCCGTGCGGTGTGGGCAAGGGGCGGGCGGGGGCGCTCGTCGTGCGAGGAGGGGGAGAGGGCGGTGCAAGGAGAGAGAGGCTGGTGGCGAACGGGCCTGGAATGGTGGGGACGAGAGTGAGGTTGTGGGGGACAAGGCAAAATGGGGAAAAATAGAGGGGAAGGGATTAGGAGGAGGATTGAAAGAGGAAGATGGGGAAGAGGAAAAAGAGGAGGAGGAGGAGGAGGAAGAGGAGGAGGAAGAGGATGAAGAGGAGGAGGAAGAAGAGGAGGAGGATGTGTATGAGCCTGATGATCGAATTGCTGGTTCAGGGAGGGGAAGAGGAAGAGGGAGGGGGAGGGGCAGAGGGAGGGGTCGAGGGAGGGGGAGGGGCAGGGGTAGAGGCCGGGGCAGAGGGAGGGGCAGGGGCAGAGGGAGGGGTATGACAAGCGAGAAAAGCGAGAGTGAAGAGAAGGGAATGGGTGGTGGAGGGAAGGTGAACATAAGTGATGAAGCAAGCAGTGGCGAAGGAGAGGAGGCCGAGAGTGAGTCTGGAGAGGAAGAGGCAGAGGGGGAGGAGGACTGCTATGAGCCTGAGGGGAGAAGTTCCATTCACTTGGGGAGGGGAAGGGGGAGGGGGCGGGGGAGAGGGCGGGGCAGGGGCAGAGGCCGGGGCAGGGGAAGAGGCGGAGGAAGGGGAAGGGTTGTGAAAGTTACTGATGGTGCTGTTGGTGCTGATGGTGATTATGGTGATGGTGGTGATGATGGTGATGGTGGTGATGATGGTGATGGTGGTGATGGTGGTGATGATGGTGATGGTGGTGATGGTGGTGATGATGGTGCTTACAGTGATGATTCTCTTGGGCGAAGTGTGGGTGATGCTTTGGGTCTTGCGGAGGGTAAAGGGGAGGAGAGTGGTGAGAGAGAGGGTGATGGAAAGGGAGAGGATGTGTCAGGGAGCGAGAGTGAGGGCAGTGAAAATGATGAGAATGATGGAGGGGAGGGTAGAGGGGGAGGAGCAGTGGGGGGGAGAGGAGGAGCAGTTGATGGGTGGGAGAACGGGAGGGGGAGAGGGCAGGGGTTAGGGAATGGCAGGGGGCTATGGAGAGGGCGAGGTAGGGGAGTGGCAATAGGGGGGATGACTGTAGGGAGAGGGTATAGGCAGCAGGTTTTGTTTGCGGGGCAGAACGGCAAGTTGGAGCTAAGAACAAAGCCCGATTGACTACAGTATATGTGTATGTTCAGATTGTGCTTTCATTTACTTACAGTAGAAGCTGTCAACACGTGCTCAATAAATAAGCGTGTGATCAATATGAACTCTCCCTAATCAATACCATCCCTTTGAAACTAGGGCCGCTGCTAACACATCTGGATGTTGAACGTATCAACCAACACTGCCTTCTTACTGCCTCGGAAAGTACACAAGTGTCACTAGCTAAACATCGCACCCAATGGACGTACGGTACGGTACGGTGCGGTATTATAAGTGTGGCTACTATAAAAAGGCCATCACCACAAGTGGCGGTCAGAAGCGGCTGTGGCCGTCGTGGGAGTGGCTGTCGGGCATTTGGCGGAGGCCCCACGACGATGCACTCGGCACACGCGTGGTAGCGAAGCAAACCTTTTGAGGCGCCTTAAGGGCCACAACGAGTGTCTGTCAGAAGCGGCTGTGGCCGTCGTGGGAGTGGCTGTCGGGCATTTGGCGGAGATCCCAAGAGGATGCGCTCGGCACACGGTAGCGCCGCAGAATCTGAGCGTTGGACTGGTGGCGTGTGCGGGCGTGTGTGCGTGCGTGTGTGTGTGTGTGTGCATGCGTGTGCGTGTGCGTGCAAGGGTTGCAAACACAAGCAGAAAGGTCCGCGTATTAAAAAAGGAAGAGATGTTTAGCTGCAGGGAAATACTAGACAGACTGGAAAAATAGCTGGGCCAACGAGCCTAAGGTTCACATCCCTCAAACTCAGTGAAAGTTAAAATCAACCTTAGGCTCGTTGATTCGTCAACAGCTGCTCACCTTCCTGGCAGCTGCCATGTCAATGGCTATGATTCGTCCATCCTCCAGATCGAAGCGAACGAATGGTCCAGATGTTTCCAGCACAGCGTCTTTGAGCTGGCGAATGTTGTGCACCTCCTCCCCATTCACCTTGAGCACCTGGGAGTGCACGAGGGAAAGAAGGGAGGGGGGTGGGTGGGGTGTTGCAGGAGAGGTGGGTTGAGTCGACTTAAAATACACTCGAATGTTGTCCACCTCCTCCCCATTCACCTGGAGCACCTGGGGGTGCACGAGGATGGGGGGTTGCAGGAGAGTAGAGGCGGTGCAGGGGAGAAGAGTAGAGGGGGTGCAGGGGAGGAGAAGAGAGGAGTGAATGAGATGAGAGGGGAAGGGATGCAGAGAAGGAGAGGAGAGCGGTGAAGAGAAGAGAGGATGAGGGAAGAGGGGAGACGAGGATGAGGGAGAGGGGAAAGGGTGAAGTTGAGGGAAGGAAGGAGGAAGTGCGAGGAACAGGGCATCTTAGAGCAGATGGGGGCGTGAGCAGCATCTAGGAAACCTACATCTTACTTGCAGGTCTTGATACAGGGCATCCAGCACATCTTAATGCAGAAAAAGCGTGAGAGCAGAGGGGTTCGACATCATGCTTCATCCGACATCATGCTTCATCCCACATCATGCTTCATCCCACATCATGCTTCATCCCACATCATGCTTCATCCGACATCATGCTTCATCCGACATCATGCTTCATCCGACATCATGCTTCATCCGACATCATGCTTCATTCGACATCATGCTTCATCCCACATCATGCTTCATCCGACATCATGCTTCATCCGACATCTTACCTGCAGGTCTGCTAGACGCTCATAGCCACTGTTGACCTCGTCTGGTAGCACCTGGTGGCACTCGTGGGGGGGGGGGGGGAGCGCAGTGAGGGGCAGACACAGCGGAAAGTGAGCAGGTGAAGTGATGAGTGGGGAGGCTGGAGGCAGAGCATACAGGCCTGCGAGCCGCTCATAACCACTGTTCACCGCATCAGGTAGCACCTGGTGGCACTCGTGGGGGGAGGGGAGGGCATAGAGAGGGGAAGATACGGCGCAGAGTGAGCAAATGAAGGGATGTGTGAATTGAAGAGGCTGGGAGCATGGCCTGCAGATTCGCCAGCCTTTCTAGCTACTGTTGACCTCGTCAGGTTGCACCTCGTGGCAGTCGTGAGGAGATGGGGTGATGTATGAGGAGATGGGGTGATGTGTGAGGAGATGGGGTGATGGGGTGATGTGTGAGGAGATGGGGTGATGTGTGAGGAGATGGGGTGATGTGTGAGGAGATGGGGTGATGTGTGAGGAGATGGGGTGATGTGTGAGGAGATGGGGTGATGTGTGAGGAGATGGGGTGATGTGTGAGGAGATGGGGTGATGTGTGAGGAGATGGGGTGATGTGTGAGGAGATGGGGTGATGTGTGAGGAGATGGGGTGATGTGTGAGGAGATGGGGTGATGTGTGAGGAGATGGGGTGATGTGTGAGGAGATGGGGTGATGTGTGAGGAGATGGGGTGATGTGTGAGGAGATGGGGTGATGTGTGAGGAGATGGGGTGATGTGTGAGGAGATGGGGTGATGTGTGAGGAGATGGGGTGATGTGTGAGGAGATGGGGTGATGTGTGAGGAGATGGGGTGATGTGTGAGGAGATGGGGTGATGTGTGAGGAGATGGGGTGATGTGTGAGGAGATGGGGTGATGTGTGAGGAGATGGGGTGATGTGTGAGGAGATGGGGTGATGTGTGAGGAGATGGGGTGATGTGTGAGGAGATGGGGTGATGTGTGAGGAGATGGGGTGATGTGTGAGGAGATGGGGTGATGTGTGAGGAGATGGGGTGATGTGTGAGGAGATGGGGTGATGTGTGAGGAGATGGGGTGATGTGTGAGGAGATGGGGTGATGTGTGAGGAGATGGGGTGATGTGTGAGGAGATGGGGTGATGTGTGAGGAGATGGGGTGATGTGTGAGGAGATGGGGTGATGTGTGAGGAGATGGGGTGATGTGTGAGGAGATGGGGTGATGTGTGAGGAGATGGGGTGATGTGTGAGGAGATGGGGTGATGTGTGAGGAGATGGGGTGATGTGTGAGGAGATGGGGTGATGTGTGAGGAGATGGGGTGATGTGTGAGGAGATGGGGTGATGTGTGAGGAGATGGGGGTGATGTGTGAGGAGATGGGGTGATGTGTGAGGAGATGGGGTGATGTGTGAGGAGATGGGGTGATGTGTGAGGAGATGGGGTGATGTGTGAGGAGATGGGGTGATGTGTGAGGAGATGGGGTGATGTGTGAGGAGATGGGGTGATGTGTGAGGAGATGGGGTGATGTGTGAGGAGATGGGGTGATGTGTGAGGAGATGGGGTGATGTGTGAGGAGATGGGGTGATGTGTGAGGAGATGGGGTGATGTGTGAGGAGATGGGGTGATGTGTGAGGAGATGGGGTGATGTGTGAGGAGATGGGGTGATGTGTGAGGAGATGGGGTGATGTGTGAGGAGATGGGGTGATGTGTGAGGAGATGGGGTGATGTGTGAGGAGGCCGGGGGCAAAGGAGAGAATCGCTGTAATTTTTCAAGACCCTCACACACACATCACCCCATCTCAACATGTCAAGTCGAAATCGTGACCTGTTTCCACCCAGTTCCAGACCACTAGCAAGCCCACACCCCATCGCCCATGATCAGATAAAGAACTCGCAACTGGCAGGGCGCTGAACACAACTGGCAGGGCGCTGAACACAACTGGCAGGGCGCTGAACACAACTGGCAGGCGCTGAACACCCCAGTTGTGGGGAGATTCTTCTAGGGTGTTCAGCGCGGTGACCTTTGAGTCGGCTCAAGAGTCACCCCAGTTGTGGGGACGTTCTTCTATGTTGTTGCTGCTCTCCCCAGCAGGCGCCTGCTGTGATAGCAATGAGTTTAGGGACTTCATAGAACTCACCCGAGAGAGAATGATGATCTGCTGCCCGGGTTTCTCGGGCAGGTTGCGGAGGGCGAGGTCGCAGAGGCGGCGGGGTGAGGAGTGCAGCCAGTCAGGGCCGTATTCATGCAGGTAGGGCTGGGAGAGCGGCATGAAAACCAGCCCTGCGAATATGAAGTAGCTTGGCGCGCTGTCAAACTGCTGCGCTGGGACCAACGGGGGGAGCTGCGGGGGGGAGAAATGGAGACGGAGGAAGAGGGGGAAACGGGAAGGGGAAGAAAGAGGAGGAAACAAAGGAAGGGGGGAAGGAGGTGGAGGAAGCATGCGGTGGTTAGAGTGGGGCGGCGGGGGGAGGAGTGCAGCCAGTCGGGCCCGTACTCGTGCAGATAGGGCTGGGAGAGCGGCATGAAGACCAGCCCTGCGAATATGAAGTAGCTTGGCGCGCTGTCAAACTGTTGCGCTGGCACCAACGGGGGGAGCTGTCGGGGGAGGGGATGGGGGGGGGAGGGGGATGGAGCGGGGGGGGAGGGGAAGGGGAGCGGAGGAAAACGAGGGAGGAGAGCATGGGGAGAAAGAGGCGGAGAAAGCATGAGGTGGTTGCAGTGGAGTGGTGGGGGGAGGAGTGGAGCCAGTCGGGCCCGTACTCGTGCAGATAGGGCTGGGAGAGCGGCATGAAGACCAGCCCTGCGAATATGAAGTAGCTTGGCGCGCTGTCAAACTGCTGCGCTGGCACCAACGGGGGGAGCTGCTGGAGAGAAGGAGGAGAGGAAAGAAGAGAAGGGGCAGGACGGGGAGAAAGAGGCGGAGAAAGCATGTGGTGGTTATAGGCACCCTGGCCTTCTCCCCTTTGTGCTTGAGCGACACGAGATAGTCAAACGGCACAGACAGCCTGTGCCTCTATCAAACCATCACATTCAGAATGAGTGCATGGCATCCAACCTAGCACATACCGGGTTGACGGTCAGATCGAAGTGAATGAGCTGCCCCCCTCGGTACACCGACACCATCGCCCTCTCCCCACTGCCCTTGAGTGATACGAGATAGTCAAACGGCACAGACAGCCCGTGTGCATCAACCGTCACGTTCAGAATCAGTGCATGGTAACCCACCCACCGCCTACCGGGTTGACGGTCAGATCGAAGTGAATGAGCTGCCCCCCTCGGTACACCGACACCATCGCCCTCTCCCCACTGCCCTTGAGCGATACGAGATAGTCAAACGGCAGTCGCTCCCTCTTGCGGAACAGCACTGCCACAAAGGGGTAAATAGAAGAGGGGAATGAAGAGAGGGTTGACCTTGAGACTACTGAAAGGGTCACATTTCTAGCCCTCTCCCCACTGCCCTTGAGCGACACCAGAGTCAAACGGCAGTCGCTCCCTCTTGCGGAACAGCACTGCCACGGGCAGAGGGACACAGAGAAGGGGATGAGGTGGGAGAAAGAGGGAGAGGGAAAGGGAAGTGATTCATCAGACGGCTCGGCCATCTCAACCCTGCCCGGACCCATCAATTCCCTCCTCTCCACTCACCGGAACCATCATCGGCTATAGGCACGCAGTCAAACGCGGTGAGCACATCGTCCTTCTTGATCCACCGGCTGCTCTCACTGAGCGGCTGCACTGAGTTCATGAGCATGCCCGTGGCTCCCTAATTCAGCCAATGCCAAACTGCACTGACCCAGCCCACTATTTACACTCACCAGAACCATCATCAGCTATAGGCACGCAGTCGAAGGCAGTCAACACGTCGTCCTTCTTCAGCCACCGGCTGCTCTCACTCAGCGGCTGCACCGCGTTCACCAGCACGCCCGTGGCGGAGGGCGGCAGGCGCAGGTGCGCACGCCCGAGCACTGGATTTCCAAACAAAATCACCAGCACACCTGTGAGTTGACTTTTGGGTCGGCTCAAAAGTCAACCCAGCACACCTGCGACGCCCTGATTATGCCAATGTCACACTCACCAGAACCATCATCGGCTATTGGGACGCAGTCGAAGGCAGTCAACACGTCGTCCTTCTTGATCCACCGGCTGCTCTCACTCAGCGGCTGCACCGCGTTCACCAGCACACCCGTGGTGGAGGGAGGCAGGCGCAGGTGCGCGCGCAGCTGCCAGTTGTCGAGCGTCTGGCATGCCACTCCCAGGAAGGAGAAGCTGTAACAATTTTTGAGGTTCTGAGCACTAAAAACCCTCTGTCTCACTCACCGGAACCATCATCGGCTATAGGCACGCAGTCAAACGCAGTCAGCACATCGTCCTTTTTAATCCACCGGCTGCTCTCACTGAGAGGCTGCACCGCATTCACGAGCACGCCCGTGGCGGAGGGGGGCAGGCGCAGGTGTGCGCGCAACTGCCAGTTGTCGAGCGGCTGGCACGCCACGCCCAGGGAGGAGAAGCCGTGGAAGCGGCGGTGGTGCAGCGCTGCATCGTGCAGGAAGCGGTGGATGATGGGCGTGGGTACTATGTAGCTGGGGGGGGGGGGGGGGGGGGGAGGGAGGAAGAGGGGAAGAGACGGTGGTGGTGGTGCATGGGGACTATGTAGCTGGGGGAATGGGGAGGGAGGAAGAGGGGAAGAGGAGGTGGTGGTAGTGCGTGGGTATGATGTATATGTCAGAAGAGGGCATGGGAACTATGCTGTGGGGGAAAGGGGGAAAGTGAAGTGGGGGAGAGGAGTTGCACTCACCCGATGTTCTCCGCGCCAGTGAGGTTCTGAAACGCCACCCCCACCACGCGATACTCCACTCTCATTGCCTTGTAAGGAGCCTCCAAGCTTAACCAATGTTTCGACAATGGGGGGGGTTGCTCATCTCACCCACTGTGCTTTGCTCACCCGATGTTCTCCACGCCAGTGAGGTTCTGAAACGCCACCCCCACCACACGGTACTCTACCCTCATCGCCACCGGCGCCGCCCGCGCTGCCGCCTCCTCTGCTGCCCGCTCCGCCTCTATCTCCGCCCACCCTCCTCCCACCCCCAAGTCCTCCTCCCCCTCCTCCCCCTCCCGCTCCTCCCGCCCATCTTCGCCCCCTAGCCCCAGCATCCCATCCCCGCCCTCGTCCCCCCAGCCCAGACCCTTTATGCGGGGTGAATCGCTCTCCTCCTCCAACACTGATCGCCGCTCCATCCCCCCTGCCCTAGACTCGCCCAACAGCTGTGAAGGCATCAGATCCCTGCCGCTGCCACTGCCACCCCCGCTGCCCCCGCTTCTGCTTGTCTCTCTACCACCACTACTGCTGCTGCTGCTAGTGTACGTGCCACCAGCATTAGAAGCAGTACTGCTGCTACTGCTGTCTGCTGCCATGACGGGCACGTGGGTCATGACGAGGGCGGGCCCACCGCTGTTGCCGGGGTTGATGGCTGCGTCAATCTGAATGGCCAGCAGGTGCGCCCCGCTGTGCGCGTACTTGGTGGGCTCGACTCGTGAGACTACCCCCATGCTGATGCTGATGTTGTCGCCTCCTGGGGGGGTTGGTGGGTGGGTGCGAATCAGGTGGAGAAGGGAGGGTTGATGGCTGCGTCGATCTGAATGGCCAGCAGGTGTGCCCCGCTGTGTGCATACTTGGTGGGCTCGACCCGTGATACTACTCCCATGCTGATGTTGATGTTGTCGCCGCCTGGCATTGTTGATTAGAGGGAATGAATCAGGATGGGCAGGGAGAGGTGAGGTGAGTACAGAGTTGAGATGGATGGCCAGCAGGTGGGCTCCGCTGTGTGCGTACTTGGTGGGCTCTACCCGTGACACCACGCCCATGCTTATGCTGATGTTGTCTCCTCTCCGCCTAAAGGGTGGGGATGCGTGTGGAGAAAGGGAAGGACGCAATAGAGTGAGAAGGGAGCCGCTGTTGCCGGGGTTGATAGCTGCATCGATCTGGATGGCCAGCAGGTGGGCTCCACTGTGCGCGTACTTGGTGGGCTCGACTCGAGACACCACTCCCATGCTTATGCTGATGTTGTCGCCGCCTGGCAAGGTTGGTGGGTGGGAAGGGAGAGGTGAGGCGAGCACAGTGGCGATCTGGATGGCCAGCAGGTGTGCCCCGCTGTGGGCGTACTTGGTGGGCTCGACTCGAGACACCACTCCTGCAGCTGAGGCACTCCCCCCAGAGGCAGCGGGTTCAGCCCCGCCCGAAACATGAATAGCCACATGAAAGACGTGAATTTTTTCATCACGTCTAAGTCTCTCACCTTGAGGGTACCCCACTACAGCGACAGACTCCTGCAGCTGAGGCACATCCCCCAGGGGCAGCGGGTTCAGCCCCGCCCAAAACTCCTCATTGCCCCCTGCTCCCCCCCCTCTCCCCACCTCCCCCCTTCCCCCCATCCCCATCCCCATGTCCCCCCCCATCCCCTTCCCCCCTCCCATCCGGCTTCCCAGCCCGCCTCCGCCCCCTCTCCCCATCCCCCCGCCCCCGAAATCCCCCATGGCGCCCCCTCCGCCGCGTCCCCCTGCCCCTGCGCCGCCCTTATCGTCCCCAAATCCGTGGTCGTGATCGTGCTCGTGCTCGTGGTGCCCTCCCCTTCCCCCCATGCCTCCCCCCATGCCTCCCCCTCCCCCTGCGCCTGGCTCCCCCACTGTCAGCAGCGCCAGGTCGCACTCGTGCGCCACTGCTTGCACCTGGTGGGGGAAAGAGGGGGAGGGGGAGAGGGGGGGAAGTGCGGAAGCAGGGGGGATTTCAAAGGGAGAGGAGGGGGATGCGCCAGGTCGCACTCGTGCGAAACTGCTTGCACCTGGTGGGGGGGAACGGGGGTGGGGGGTAGAGGGAGGGGAAACGGGGTCGGGACAGGTTGCACTGATACGCCACTGTCTGCACTTTCCTCACTCCCCTCCCAAACTCACTGCACGCACCTGCACGAGGCACTTCTCACCCCCAGCTCAACCTGCCTCCCTCACGTCCCCTCCTGCACACATACACGCACTTCCCACCACGCACACACCCTCCCGCACTTCCCACCACGCACGCACCCTCCCGCACTTCCCACCACGCACGCACCCTCCCGCACTTCCTGGACGGCGCACCTGAGCGAGGTACTTCTTGGGCGAGCCGTGTTTCCTCACCAGCACGAACGCCTGATCCGCCACGATGTGCGCGCTGGTGAGGATCCGACGGCCCATAATCACGAACCCTGCTCGCCAAGCCAACGCAGGGGATTGGGGGGGGGGGGGGGGGGGGGTTGGTGGGGGGTGGAAGAAGGACGAGCAGTGAGTCCTCAAGGGGTCGGCCACGATGTGCGCGCTGGTGAGGATCCGACGGCCCATAATCACGAACCCTGCTCGCCAAGCCAACGCAGGGGATTGGGGGGGGGGGGGGGGGGGGAGTGGTGGGGGGTGGAAGAAGGACGAGCAGTGAGTCCTCAAGGGGTCGGCCACGATGTGCGCGCTCGTGAGGATCCGACGGCCCATAATCACGAACCCTGCTCGCCAAGCCAACACAGGGGCGGGGAGTGGGGGGGGTGGTTGTGGGGGGACGGAGGAACAGTGACTCGGCGAGGGGGTGCAGTTGCGGAGGTGTGTGGAGAGTAGGGAGGGTGCAGGAGGGGGGGGAGACGTGACAGAACACAGGAAGCCGCAATGGGGCATTGAGACAATCCAATTGGAAGAAACTCAACGAGGGGTACTGAAGGAAGGGATTTGAAAGTAAGACCTAACCTCACCTGAGCCTGTGACCTCGCGCTGGGCTTTGTTCTGCCAGGGCAGGCGGTAGTTGGGGCTGCTCCCCACGGCGAACACCTTCACCACCGAGTCTAACACCGCCTCCTGATCGTCCTCTGGTAAATGGTCGTCCTCCGCCGCCTCCGCGCCTTCCGCCTCCGCGCCTTCCTCCGCCTCCGCGCCCGCGCGGAGGTCGTCCCGCGGACCCGGCGGCATCAGCGCCTGCGCGGAAGGACCTTCACGTCCCAAGCCCATGCCCGCGGCCATGTCGCCGAGCCCTGTGTCGCCACGCTCCCCGCCGTCCCGGTCCGTGCTTAGACCTCTCCTGAGGAGCCACGCCGAGAGGGAGTCAGGGCACGAAGCCGCGACAGCTATGGGAGACCCCGAACCTGAGGATCGGTCCCCAGGCCAAGAGGCTCGGGGAGGACGGGTGGCGGCGGAATGGTAGTGTGGAGGGCGAGGGGAGAAGGCTCGGGAGACCTGCGAACGGTCATGGAGAGAGCTCCGTGGAGCATCGGGTGTGGGGTTTGCGGCTGCGATATGGTACGAGTTCGTGACTGGGACTCGGTGCAGAGTGGTTCTGTGAGGTATCAATAACGGGTTTGGCGACGTGCTTTCGTCGGTGTGGCGTTGGGTTGATGCTTTTGAACCCCCATTGGCTGAGGAGGAATAAGCGGCGGCTAATGCGGGGAGGTTGACAGTCCTGAGGACGGCCCATGACAGCTGGCAAGCAACGGATGGCAGATGGCGACACGTCAGGTGGGATATGATTGCTGATGGATTAACCACCGCCATTGCTGAAAATTCATTCGAAAGGTAATAAATTGTGTCCTTTCACAGGCTATAAACAAGCCAGTGGCGTACACTAGCAACGCTCAAAACACGGGGACGCAGCCATTCGCGTGGTTCCTATCAGAGCGTACTTTTGGCAGTGTTGGGTTCAGAAGTTTTTTTTTTTAACCAGGCTTGCCAGCGCGAAAGTGCTGGCTGGCGAAAACCAGGATTTCGTGCGGACACTTTCCATCCGCAGTAACAGTTCGCCAGGGTTCTGGGTTTTGGGTGGCAAATGTGCACCGTCGCTTTAATAAATGCGGAGCCGGGAAGACCGGAAATTTATGGAGCGATTTTTGCTGGCAATAGAGACCAACGCAGTGAAGTCAGAGTAGTCTTGTCAGATGGCTGCACCACAACTTCAGGAATTTTCCTGTCTAAAGAATCCAGCACGCATGAATACGGTCTTGTTTGGTTGGTTGCGTTTCAAACCATTATATGCGCTAGAACCGTGGTTGAAGTGCGGTTGCACCTCCTGCTTTGATTGTGGCTGGATGGGTGGGCCCGTTAGAAGGAAAGGAGAGTTGACTGACAGCCAGGCCACGTCGATCAGATATGATATTACTATGATTGGAGAGCCCTCGATATTGTCATAGATGCAGCACACCCGCTCCAGCAATCAAAGCCGAGGAAAACACGTGTCAAGTCGGTTCGGGTGGAGCTCTCTTCCCAAGTCAAACCTAGCTCGAGCTTATGTGGCAATGAGGTAATCTGGGGCCAATTGAGCATCCTTGACTTCCTGTAAAAGCGGGTGCACTACAGTACACTAATGTCGTCGAAGCCTATGCTACAGTGTTGCTGCAGCAGAATCAAAGGTCTCTTTCGGTCTTGCAAAAATTATCCATGTTGACCTTCCCAAATAGAGCTACACACCTCTAACTGAACATGCTGGATGAGTTTAGACTCACCCACCTTTCCCTATTAAACAAAGAAAGCCCACAGCAGCCAGCCGTGGGACAAATTATAATTGGTTTAACTGTATGAATTGATTATCCACTGCACAAGACGTTGCTTGCTTGCATTTATTCTCAAGTCCTTCACCATAGACCAAGCAGATGAGACTTTCAACCGAAGAGCAGAAGCTGCTCCAGTCGAATGCCAAGAGTGTTCGCCACCTGCACGCCCCATGCAAAACGTACACAAAGGCACACAGGCACAAGCATTAGGCATAACCAAGCATGATTTCAATGAGCACCGGGCAATGCATGAAAATCAAACGGACAAAATCCCCTCGTTCACCTCCCTCACCTCCCCCCAACCCCTCCATCACCTCCCTGGACTCCTCCCCTAGCCACCTCCCTGAACTCCCTTCATCTGCTCCTTCCCTCCTCTTAGTGTCATACCTGCTTCACCAGTTCCTTTCTCGCACTGCACTTGAAGCGTGTTGTGCTTGCCAGCCTGTCTTCCCCTGACTGGCTCACCAGCCCACCGCGAATGAGGGTTGCAAGCTGAGTCAGCAGGCTGTCATCTACAGCAGGAGCTGACTCAGCAGCAGCACCACTAGAAACCAAGGCGAGAGGAGAGGACCAATGAGCTTTCACCAAGTGGTGAGCCATGAGCAACCAGCGGGAAAGAGGGAATGGAATGGGGCCCTGCTGTTGAGCATCCCTGGCCTCTCTCGTCTGCTTGTCCAGATCCCCTGCACTTGCCTTCCTCTTCCTCCTGGACCGAAACCCGTTTCCACCGGGCTGCATAGTGTCTGAGAAGTTAAAGAGGGTCACATCGGATGGTGCTGGGTTGCGGGAGCAGGTGAATGCTGCTACAAGGGCGAATCGAGTCATGATGGGAAGATCTGGAACGTCCATTGGAGCTCCAGCAGTAGCAGCAACAGCAGGAGTATCCATGACTGAGGAGCGCACGAGGATTGAAACGGGCTGCTTGAGTGTGGCTCCTATGTGCTCCTGTGCTCGCATGTACAGCAGGCGCGCACAGCTGGGATGGTCGGGGGACACAGATCCTGTGGCAATGGGAGCGGTGTAGAGCGGCCAGGAGTGGTCCACGAGCGAGGCGAGGTGCGGTAGGGAGCGGCAGGCGCGGGAATACACTGGAACCACCTGCCTGGGGTGGTGAATGATGGGTCGGGAGGTTGGGAAATGGCAACAGAGGTTGGGAAACGGGTGGATGGGAGAAGGTGAAAGCAGGAGGTAAACAGGCAGGGTAGCGGGCGAAGCGGAGCGGCCACGTGGAAGGGTTCTGAGAGAAGATGGAAGGGAATGGTTGTGGTTGAAGTACCTGAGGAAGGAGAGGAAGAGCGGCTGGTTGGGCCGCATCCCCACTAGAACAGTCTCCAGCTCCTTGTCACTGTACGGTGGGAAGAACACTGTCACCGGCTCACATGCCGCCACTGCCATCGCCGCTGCCGCCGCTGCTGCACCTCCCCCTCCTCCCCCTCCTCCCCCTCCTCCCCATCCTCCTCCCCAGCCTCCACCCCAGCTGCCCCCACCCCCCATCCCTGCAGCGCCAAGGCCACAACTTGACGCCCAATCCAGCTTGCTCACTAGGATTAGTCCTAAGTTGGACTGCCCCAACAGTTCGGGCAGGCGGAGGAAAGTTTCCAGCAGCTGCGGGCCTTCCCCTGCAGGGAATGCTTTGAGCTGCTCCAGGTTGTCTATAACGAGGTACACTGTAGCGGGTACCAAGCAAGCTCGAGGCTCCTTATCGGACACAGCAAGAGGGCTGCACTGCAGACCCGTGTCAGCTGCCCCCCTCTCTAAGGCAGCCTGCTTTCTTCCGTCTGCCACTTCAGTGCCCTCTGCACCTGCAAATGCGGCAGCCAAGGAGCGCCGTGCACTCGGGTGGGTGGTGCCTCCTCCTCCTCCTGGTCCTCCTAGACCCTTGTGCTTCTCTCTGCTGCCGGGCCTTTGCTCCAGCACCTGCACGTTCTGTGGCATCTGCTGCTCCATCTGCTCGTCCTGCTGCTGCTTTAACGGCTGAGTGTCTACCGCAATAGGACCCACCTCGATCACATCGTCATCCTCTTCGTACCCCGCGTCCTCCACCTCTTCACCCCCATCCTTCTGCCCCACTATCTCTGCTCCTCTCTCTTCTCCCTCCATCTCGAATCCCCCCTCCTCTCCTTCTTTCTCCTCCCCGTCCTCGCTCCTCACTTCCCCCTCCTCCATCTCATCCGCGGGTCCCAAAACCCCAGCCTGCCCACCGCTGTTCATCACGAACCACAGACCGCTCGCTCATCCCCTCTCCCGCTCTTGGGTCGCACCATCCGCCTCTGCCTGCGTGTGCACCGTGGGCCGTTTCGCATGGCGGGGCGACGCTGGCGGCTGCTGCGCTGCCCTCTTGTTTCGCAGCGCTGTCACCTCATGCTGCGACGCACACTCTCGTGCTGCCTCCTCATGCCCTCTTGGACTTAGCTCGTTGCGGAGCCAATCATTGTCACGGTCTGATTCCTGCTGCGCTATCCCAGCAGTAGCAGCCATAGGAGTGACAGTAACAGACGAGGAAGCAGCTAGTCTGCTTCGAAGCATCCCTCGAGTGACTCTCCTCTCCTCCTCCCCTTCCCATGAAATCACAACCTCTTTTGTCTTCTTCCCTTCTCCTCCCACACACACTGCACCATCTGCGCCCTTACGTCTCTTCCTCCTCTCCACTCCTTCCTGATCAGCCTTTTCTCCCTCTCGCTCCTCCCTCTCATCTCTTTCCTCTTCCTCGCTTTCATCGTCACGACCTTCCCCTTCCGCCTCTTCCCCTTCCGCCTCTTCCCCATCCCCGGACAGCACCCGCAGCAGCGCTCTCAAGAATACAGCTCGGTTGGGGATGGTGGTGGGGATGGAAACGGGTTTTGCAGGCAACACGCGTGTGAGTTCACGAGGCTGATCCCCTTGCTGCACCCTTTGCTGCTCCTCTTGCTGCTGCTGCTGCTGCTGCTGGGCCAGCTGGGTCAGAACCGCTTGGTATACGGATTGCTGGGAGCCACAGGCGGAGGTGAGGGGGAGGTAGACGTGGGGACGGCGCATCCGCGAAAGCGCCGCGCGGATCACGGCGGTTTTCCCCGTGCCTGATGGCCCACAGAGGAAGAGAGGCGGCATGCGATCGAACGGTCCTCCGAGATGCAGAAGAATGTCCTCGATCTGCCACGTGGCGTGCGAGATAAGCGGTGGTAGTTGAAATAAGGGGACGGGAGAAAAGGTGAGAGGGAGTTAAAAGCAGGAAGGATCCTAGAGAATCAATATTTACACTGGGACTGCCAGAGTAAAAACGCGGATTCAGTAGGACCCCAATAGACGGTGTATTCAAACGGGCGTTAAGATAAAACAATGAGAAATTTTGGATAAACGTGAGAGTGACGAGAAGAGAACCAGCAAAAATGGTATATATCTTCGAAACATCCCAAACGCGACAGGAGAGTTACGACGTGACAAGCGAATCTATGGTTGCATATCGCATTCTGAAGACCGGACAACAAATATGATGATCGGCCTGCTGACCTGTCGTTTCCGGCAGGAAAATCTTGAACGAAGCTCCGCCGCAACTTCCCTCGCGTCCATCTCGTCTCGCTGTCGTTAATGTACGACACTAAGTCTACAACATACGAGCGTTTCCACCGCCGCTACCAGCAGTTTCCGCGAGGCGGTGCGAAGCCGCAATGCGGAACCTTGGCTTACGAACGACCTGCTGCTACATCGACGTGCTGAACTCGGTCGAGTCACCAGAAATCAATCTGCCAGAGTTGAAGTATAGATTAACAGCCCATGTCCACCACCAAGTAAAGACCTTTTGCGCCTATATATGAAGATAAACCTCGCTGTCTGCACCGCAACGTTAGAGCTGTAAACTGTGTACTCCGTGAATTCAGAAACGGATAAACTTGACTGAATCCCTCAAGCCGGCTCAGCTATGCAGTCAGGCTGGAATCGACTTGAAAGAGAAGGTACGGTCATCCAAGACTAAAGCCGCGCGAAGAGCGGGTTCAGTCGAGAACAAGAGAAACCAGCTGAGGGATTCCGGTAGACAGAATTTGGTTTTCCACAAACGTGAGTGCAGAAGAAGCAGACATGCGGAAAGGTGGAAGTTGGAGGGAGAGGGTGAAAGGGCGAAAGTCGAGACGCGCTTTGAGGTGAATGAGAATCCCAATGGCCGAAAATGCATGCAACATTTGGCGGGAAGGCTTGAACGGCTTCCTAAGAGTACACCGCAATTATCATTAATTGATTATCCTTGCAGCTAACCTCGTCTCGAGAAAAATGCGAATCGTCTGGTTACCCAAGTTAGATGTTCTCGTGTCGCCACCCACAGTCACCACGAGCGAGTGCTTTATCCACATATCACGCCCCTTGGTGTTGCCAGAGGCCAATTTTGTTCAATCCCCCATCAATCCCATCCATCCCATCTGCCATGCTCCCACCCCACTCCACCGGATCTCACCACTTCAAACGAAGTGCTGCTCGCCACACTTTCTGATCAGCAACAAGGCAGCATTGCTGACAAGATCCTACATCCTCACCAATTCGTTTCCTTTCCCACGGTTCCTCCTCCGCATTGCGGCTGGAACCTTTTTTAAATAATCGCGCAATACGCCCTTGCTCCGTAATTCACTTTTTGATAGTGAAATCAGCACAGAAAGTGCCTCTGACCAGGACCGGTGCGCATAGCTTCAAGTAACTATCCGGTCTCTTTGCTGCATAAGCAGTTTTTTTGTCAGAATGGCCGGGCGGAGGAGCGGCCAAGGGGAAAACGCTCTGGCAGCGGCAGGTCGCCACGTGTCGGGAGTGGGGAAGCACGTGGAAGGCGCGTGTCGCGCCATGTGGGTGGAAGTGTCCAATCACGGGCAGAAGCACGAGTACCAGCTTGTGGGGGGCGGCGGCGGTTTGATTGAAGTGAGCATTCTGATAGGGAGGGAAGAGGGGGTTGAGAGAGTGTGGGCTGGGAGAAGGCTTGAGGGATTAGAGAGGCTTAAGCCATGCAGGCGGCTTGACTTGCCTCCTCTTCCCCCCTCCCCTCCCCCTCCCTCCCCATCCTCTTCATTATGTAATCCGGACATGCAATGCCTTGGTAAAGCCCTTTCGGTCCCCATCACCTGTTCTTCCACCATGCAAAAATTCACCCAAACCTGTTCTTCCTTTCACCACATTGCATGCGACCTGCCATTTCATGGCATGGTATGGCATGGTGTGGCATGGCATTTCACGGCATGGCATGGCACGGTATGGCACGGTATGGCATGGTATGGCATGGTATGGCATGGCATGGCATGGCATGGCACGGCATGGCACAGCATGGCATGGCACGGCATGGCACGGCATGGCACGGCATGGCACGGTATGGCACGGCATGGCACGGCATGGAACGGCATGGCATGGCATGGCATGGCACGGCATGGCATGGCACGGCATGGCACGGCATGGCATGGAATGGCATGGCATGGCAGGGGCACATAGTACCGGACACTCGCTCCATCCCTGATCGCCTCATAGCCGCCTTCAAGGACAAGTTCTTCCCCATGGGGTATCCTGACAGGTAGGGGTATCCTGACAGGTAGGGGTATCCTGACAGGTAGGGGTATCCTGACAGGTAGGGCTATCCTGACAGGTAGGGCTATCCTGACAGGTAGGGCTATCCTGACAGGTAGGGCTATCCTGATAGGTAGGGCTATCCTGACAGGTAGGGCTATCCCAACAAGTATGGTACATGGTACCGAACACCCATAGCACATGCTCGCTCTCTCTCCCTGATCGCCTCATAGCAGCCTTCAAGGACATGTTCTTCCCCATGGGCTACCCTGATAGGTAGGTGTATGCTGATAGGTACGCCATGCCATCCCGACCTGACAGGTAGGGCTTTCCCACTCCTTGACCCCTCCACCCCCAACCCCTCCCACTCTGGCCCCAACCACTCCCCCCCCCTCTCTCCAGTGTTGCGGAGGGCTACATGCTATTTTCGCAGTACAGGGGCATTCAGCACATCGCTGTGGCAGCTCTGAACGTGCTCTCCACACAGGTGTGTGCGAGGCAGGTGCTTGTATTGTATGATGGAGTGCTATTGAGGCGCCTCAAAAGTTGCAGTACAGAGGCATTCAGCACATCGCTGTGGCGGCTCTCAACATGCTCTCCACACAGGTAAGCGGCGGGTGGTGCTTATATCGAGTACTTTAGTATGGATAGCAACACATCCCTCTCACGTTACCTAATCACTGCTACTCTCACCCACACTCCCGCATCCCATTCACCCCCTCTTCCACCACCCCCCCTTTCCCCGATTCTTCCACTCTTCTTCCATCACATTCACGGCATGCAATGCAGCACTGGGTTCGTCTTATCTCAGAACCCATACCATCCCTTGTGCCCCCACCTTCCCCACCCCGTCCACCTCTCTTTCATCCCACCTCCTCCCACCAGTCGCTGCTCTTTGCAGCAGGCCTCCGCCCCACACCCGCACAGGCCACGATAGTGAGCTGGGTGGTGAAGGACGGGATGCAGCATGCCAGCAAGCATCAATACCCCCTCCCTTGCTCCCCCTGCCTGCTCCCACACCCCAGTCTCTCCTCTTTGCAGCGGGTCTCCGCCCCACGCCAGCACAGGCCACCATAGTGAGCTGGGTGGTGAAGGGCGGCATGCAGTGCAGCACTTGAAGCTTCCTATTCCCATTCCACTCCCCCCTCCATCCCCTCCTGCTTCCCACCAGTCACTGTTATTCGCAGCGGGCCTCCGCCCCACGCCAGCACAGGCCACGATAGTGAGCTGGGTGGTGAAGGACGGCATGCAGCATGCCAGCAAGATCGCTGCCAGTCGCCTCGGTCGCAGCATGGATGCCGATCCCAAGCGCTGGCGCGTTGCTGCTGACGTCGTCTGCGATGTGGGAGCCTTCCTTGAGTGCCTCTCGCCTCTCATGCCCCACCGCTTTTTGTTGCTCGCTGGCCTCGCCAACGCAGGGAAGGTGAGCTTGGGGCCGTGTGCTGATACAGTCTTGAGGCGCTAAATAAATCTTGAGGCGCCCCAATAGATTGTTACCAAGATCGCTGCCAGTCGTCTCGTGCGCAGCATGGATGCCGATCCCAAGCGCTGGCGTGTCGCTGCTGACGTTGTCTGTGATGTGGGGGCCTTCCTTGAGTGCCTCTCCCCGCTCATGCCCCACCGCTTCCTGCTTCTTGCTGGGCTCGCCAACGCGGGGAAGGTGAGTGAGAGGCCGTGTGTTGTGTTGCGGATTTGCTTTTTGGGTTGTTATTTCTGTGTGCATTGTTGCTCCTGCCTTTCTCGAGTGCCTCTCCCCGCTCGTGCCCCACTGCTTCCCGTTGGCTTCTTCAACCCTCACAGGAGTCGAGTGCCTTTCTTAACCGCCTCCCCTCCCACGCGACCCACCCGTTCCGTTGTGCCCGCCACACGCCTGCCTCTTTACGATGCGTTTGCAAGGGAGGGCAACATCAGCGACCTGTACGCAAAGGGCTATAAGCGTGCTCTCCTCCCTTCTGCTCTCCCCACCCACCCACTCTGCCCACCAAAGGGCCTCTCGCTCGTGATAGCACGTGCCACACGTCTGCCTCTGTACGATGCGTTTGCAAAGGAGGGCAACATCAGCGACCTGTACGCCAAGGGCTATAAGCGTGCTGCCCTCTTTCGCCCCCCCCACCCACCCACTCTGCCCACCAAAGGGCCTCTCGCTCGTGATAGCTCGCGCCACACGTCTGCCTCTATACGACGCGTTTGCAAGGGAGGGCAACATCAGCGACCTGTACGCCAAGGGCGAGGCCATCAGCGTCCTCTCCTCCCTCGCCGGCCTTGCTCTCGGCCTCAAACTCGCCTCCTCCGTCTGCCAGACAGCACAAGCTAAGGTAACTGTTTGTCGACTTATAGGTCAGTGCCTTCTCCTCCCTCACTCGCCTTGACCTCGGCCTCAAGCTCGCCTCCTCCGTCTGCCAGACAGCACAAGCTAAGGTAACTATTTGTCGACTTCGAGGTCAGTTCCTTCCCCTTCCTCACCGGCCTTGCTCTCCGCTTCAAACTCGCCTTTTCCATCTGCAAGTCAGCCCACGCCAAGGTAACGCTCCTCTAATTGTTTGCTCCTCAAATTGTGTTTTCCACTGCTTCTTTTTGTCTCTTTTTTAAAATTCCCCCCAATTCATCTCCTCGTCCCGCCATGCTCCACCAAGTCTGTCGACTCACCTTTCCCCGCGGTTCCACCCACCTGCACCTACAGCTGGCAGCGGTGCCGGTGCTGGCGGCGGTGCATCTGTGGTCGGTGACAGAGGAGATGAGGGCCGTGCCCATCAACACTCTCAACGCACAGCGCACCAACGTGCTCATCAACCATTTCCTCTCCGTGAGTTTTGAGGCAAAGATATGAGTCCACTCCTCTCAAAGCAGCCGTCCCCCAACACAACACTCTCAACGCTCAGCGCACCAACGTGCTCATCAACCACTTCCTCTCCGTGAGTTTTGAGGCAAAGATATGAGTCCACTCCTCTCAAAGCTGTCGTCCCTCAACACAACACTCTCAACGCTCAGCGCACCAACGTGCTCATCAACCATTTCCTCTCCGTGAGTCGCCGAGTGCTCATCAACCACTTTTAATAGCTCTCCCTGGAGCTCATCAGAGCAGCAAGCTATCCAGCACAGCATACATGCGGCAGCGTTTTTTGTTTAAATGCCTGGGAAAAATGTTTTCATGTGGTTTCTGACATTATCCCTCCCCCCCAATGCCCCCTCTCCTCTCCTCTCCCTGGTGCGTATCAGAGTGGCGAGTTACTAAGTCCAGTGGACATGCGGTGGAGGGAGAACATTGTGAAGCTTGAGGAATGTTGTTGTGCAGCTTCTTCCATGAACAACCCCCCCTCCCCTCCCGTCGCTCTCCTCTCCTCTCCCTGGTCTGCATCAGAGCGGCGAGCTACTGAGCCCAGTGGACATGCGGTGGAGGGAGAACATTGTGAAGCCCGACCCGCCGCTCACGCTGCCTGCTGCCCACCGCCTCGCCCTCCCGCCTGCTCCACATGGCAATAAGACCAGCAGTGGTAGGAGCAGCAACGCTGCCAGTGCCACCACCACCACCACCAGCACCACTGCCACCACTAGCACCAACAGCAGCAGGTTGTGTGTGGGTGCTCCTCTTTCAGAAGCCCTGGGGTTCCCAAGCAACCTGGCGATGCTGAAACAACTGTTCTCCAATGAAAAGTTTCTTCTCAGCTGCCCGGAACGGGACACAGCAGGTGGGGTGCCACGGAAGATGCATCTGATCCTGCACAAGACAGCGGACGGCCAGGATGCAATCAAAGGATGGCTGCTAGCGTCCTGCATCAGCCAGGCAATCAGCAGAAAGGCGCAAGTCGCTGGAAAGGGCAGCATGGGTGGTGGTGGATGGGGTGACTGGGAGGGGAGTGTGCGTGAGGCATATGGTGAGATGGAGCAGCTGCTGCCACACATGCTCTGGGGATTGAAAGACAAGGGATGGCACACACACTCTTTCCTGCAGGGCTCCACAGCTAGGAGGGCAGTGTGGTGAGGATTTCTGGTACTGTACATACGTGTGTATGGTACTGCGTCTCTCATTGCAGAGTTGCAATGAAAACACATGTAATTGTACTACCGGTAATCATGAAGCCATTTCTATCTAACAACCAAGACATGGGTCAAGAAGGTCATTGTATTATCACCTGTAAAGGGTGTGGATAAAAGGACAAGCCTAGCATGTAAAACTATGTACAATTCTAGCCGGTGCATCCAGCCAATAGCATGACAGGATAACAAATGTACGACATGAACAAACGAATTTAAGGCCGTGTGAACTTCACAAGGTGCCAACGCCAGTTCTCTTGGTTTCCGGCTCTAATTCGGGCTCTAGCTCAGGCGGCGGAGTGAATTCCGGCGAGTCTAGGTCTGCCAGGTTCTTGAGATCGACCACGGATAGCATGTCCAGCTTGCGAACCACCAGATCCGCGGCACCCAACTCATAGACTGGGTGCCTTCCTGCAACGGTAACAACCTGAGCGGAGAATAAACAAGGATGTGTCAGAAATATAGCACAGCCGGGTACAGATGCGGAAAGCGGGGGATCGAAGGGAAAGGGTATATACCTTCATGTACGCATCGTGGGCTGCTTCGATAGTGGAGTTGGAGCTGCCAATGACGATGCAACGCTCCGGAATAAACTGCAGTCGCTGTGCCGCATACTGTAACACACAAAGGTGAAAGAGTAACGCAGTAGTTTACAAGTTAGTGACTGAAACAGAATCTGCAAGTGTGTTCACTTTCAAACAAAGAGAACCTGCAGCAACAATGGACTTCAAGCGGCAGGAAAAAAAGGACCCACCTGGTACATCTCAGGATCCGGCTTTCCTCTCTGCACGTCATCCGCGGAAATGACAGCATCGAAGAAGCCCTCCATGCCCACAGCCTCGACCGCTCGCTCCAAGTATCTCGCCGGACGAGTCGACACGATCGCCACCGGGATCTTGCACCGCTTCAGAGTGTCCAGAAATTCTCTGGAGCCGGGGAGAAGCCTGTAGCAACCTCCCTGAAACTTCTCATACAGCTCTTCTTTTCTCTGTGACAATCTCCTCACGGTCATGAAGTCACGCGACCAGCAAAGCACCTCGCGAATAACCTGCTCGTTTTTCATGCCCTCTGCCCTCTTAAGAATCCAAACAGGAGGCTGAGGTCGGCCTTCCTCTTCCGCAAGAGCTATCCACGCCTGTCGTTCGAACGCGGAACCATCATCAATCACTACCCCCTCCCACTCCAGCAGAACAGCCAACCATCCGCAACCCATACGCTCCAGTCTCCTCAACGGGTTGTGCAGCGACAAATCGTCAGCCCTGTCGCTAGGTACAAGAGTACGCGAAGGAACCTGTGGCATCTGAGGAAAATTCTCCTTCAAGAAGCTCTGAGCTTCCCAAGGCTTGAAACGAGGCTCGAAAGTCGCTTCCTCCATGGCCTCCATGGCGGACTGTACAGGCACGTGCCTCCGTCGCTCCGCTTCGTTCCATGATGAGCTCAACCTGGCATTGCTTTTAGGGAGCCTAGCAGGGAATAGAGCTCTGCTGAATGACGCTGATTCGTTCGAGCGGACGTTGCAGCTGAAGCTTATACCTGCTAAACTGCAAAGCTGCTGAGAAGTCACCGTCGCCATGCCGCACAAGCGCAGCAATGACAAGTACAGAAACTAGAAGACGGAGCGGAACGAGAGTGAAGCAGTCCTTGGCCAATTCGAGGCTGAAGAATAAAAAATGGAAGGGAAGAGTGAGTGAGAAGTGGAAGTTGAAACATCTAAGGGTCAGCAGCAGCATATGAGCAATGAGCCGAGGGAGTTGGAGCGAAAACGATGGAGGTAAGGGATGCAGAGGGCAAGCAAGCAGAAACCAAACCCTACCAAGCCTGAGTTGCTTCGGGCCGACAGCTCCGGCCGAACCGAAATTGCCATAAACGTCAGTTCAGCCGCGATCACTTAGCCAAACAGCACCTGCCCGAAGCAACAAGATAATTCAGGTTTTGACGAGTTCGAGCGCAACCCAGCATTGTGGGCACCTGACACGGTCTGAACCAGGAAAATGAAAAAGGCACATTCTGGGCATTTTCGACCAGCGATCCATTTTCGTGGGGCAGATTCAGGAAAAGCAACGCCTGTATCTGGTCATGTGGAAACAGATTCCATTTGGGATCGAGTAGCAATGACCTGGACGGATGATGGGCTGAAGGGGCTGGAGGCAAGGAATACCTACACACCCAGGCTTCAGGGATTCTCGCAACACCATTCGTCAGAAACAGCGTGTTTCCCGCTTAGAGGTGGGAATGTAAACAATACGGGCCTATTAGCCACCATTTCCACGTGACGCTTCGTGGAATCAAAGGGAGCCACGTCGCAGATTCTGCTGGAGGAAGTGCTTGTGTCACACGCAACAAACCGCAATGACCATTCTATTGCAACACTCGCGTTGCAGAATCGCATTACCGGTATAACTCTACAGTCAATGTTCTTGACACGATTATACCTGGAATAGTTGAAAGCTGAGAAAAACAAGGTCTCGAGAGTTATGGTAGCACTAACGTTCATACAGATCCATACAGGATTTTACAACCAGACATCACCGTCTACAGAGGACAATGACTGCAACAAATCATCATCTAAAATAATTCCTTGCGACAACTGAAACAGCACAAGTGAAAGTGCCATGGATGCCCCAAAAGCAGCAGCCAGCTTCTTGGAGTCAGCTGGTTCCACCACCAGCTCATAGGAATCCTCATTTGTTTTCTGGCTGATCAGAGAGTTGAGCAGCCCTTGTTGCCGCTTTGCTGCCTCCTCATTGGATATCTTCACTTTGCGCATGGACGGAGCAGCAATGCTGCCGAACAGAAAGCCTGCCAGTGCTGCTCCAGCGTGGGTGCTGTGGGGGGGGGGATGGGGGCATGGGGGGGAGAGCTGACAATGAGACCTTGTTCACATATCAAGCAAGGAAGGTGGGTGTAGGAAGTTCGTCACAAGGGGTGGGTGAGACGCATAGGGGGAACACAAGGGGCTGGTGTGGTCACAGGTGCGATGTGAACAGGCATGCCCATACAGATGACGTGACGGCACAGCCGTCTGTCTGAGTGGGGTGCAAGGACAGCATTGCCTGTGCAGTGCAAACCTGTGGTACGAGCCTCCCTGTAGCAAGCTCATCTGAGTGATAACGGCGTGCATGAATATGCTTCTTTCAAAAGTTGAAGAAACATGCTACAAGAGGAGAGGTGGCCTGTCACTCGCCAACGCCTCACGGACAGAAGGAAAAGACACCACCTCCCTTATCGATCACGGGGGGCCAACCGAGTGTGGCACTCACGAGGGGTCGATGGGCAGGGGATTGGCAAAGAGGGCGAAGAGTGCGGCAATGATGAGCGACTCGCGCACGTTGCTGTCTGCCGTCTCCGTGCCGATCACCTCCCGGTTCTTTATCAGAAACGCCGCGTATGCTGCTGCCACCCCGTACACCGGACCCTGGGGTGATGCGTTGCCATGGGTGACAAACGGGAGCAATCAGGCATAGAGGAGTGTGAGGGTGAAGTCTGTGGGAGTGTGGGGCTGTTTTTGTAACCATGGAGCTATGGAGGTGAACGATGAGAAGCCGTCCAAGAGGTGAGTTGCAGTGGATAAGGAGACAGGAGGAACAGAGGGGGCAGGCCTTAGGCAGGGAGAAAAGAAAGGGAATGGGACCCTCACCGTGCCGCCAACGGTGACGTCAGGCGTCTGCAGAAACGAGGTGATGTTGCCTGCGAGGCCGGAGGAGAAGTACACTGCGAGCAGACCCAGGGGGCCAATGGCGAACTCCAACACACTGCCGAGACCCAGCAGGAAGAACGTGCCCACTGACAGGTGGATGATGCCCGCGTGCTGTCGGTGGGTGGGGGGGGAGGGTGGAGCGGGGACGTGAGGTTCACAGTACAACGCACACTGCCAAGGCCCAGCAGGAAGAACGTGCCCACTGACAGATGGATGATGCCCGCGTGCTGTCAGAGGGTGTGTGGTGGGACAAGGGGGGAAAGAGGGTGCATGGAGCGGGGAATTCGGGTCCTGAGTACAACAGACACTGTTGCCGAGGCCTGGCAGGAAGAACGTGCCCACTGACAGATGGATGATGCCCGCGTGCTGCCAGTGGGTGGGGAAGGGTGGAGCAGGGGAGGTGAGGTGTATGTGGGGGGGGGAGAAGTAAGGTAAGCTGGTGATGGATGATGATGGTGATGGGTCCAGAGTACAGCACACACACTGCCTATGGCAGGCAAGAAAAACGTGCCCATTGAAAGATGCATGATGCTAGCATGCTGGGAACGGGGGTTTTGGGAAGTGGGAGGGAGGAGTGGGTGCGGGTAGAAGCTGGGTCAGGTAAGGATCGAGGATAGAAAGAACTGGAAGCTGATTGTTCAGAATGGCAAGAGGAGAAAACAGGACAATACGCCATCAGAAGCTGGAAGCAGGAAGGACGGGAAGGTGGCGGGCAGCGGGTGGGCACGTGGACGTACGAGGAGGGAGGGCGTGAGGAGGCGCCACCACTCGCCGGCTTCAATGAGCGGGTTGACCTTGGCGGCGAGCAGCGCTGGCAGCGACGTGGTGATCACCCCCGGCACCGCCTCGGGACTGGCGAGCTCAAACAGGAACACCGCGATGTTGATCGCCACTAGCGTGTAGCTGATGAAGGTGGAAGGGGAGCGGAGGGGAGGGGGGGAAAAGGGGAAAGGGGGGACAAGGGAACGAGAGTGAGGGAAGGCGGAAGGGTAGGAACGTAGCTGGCTCAAGAACGAGCACCGCTATGTTGATCGCCACTAGCGTGTAGCTGATGAAGGTGGAAAGGGAGAGGAGGGGAGGGGAGGGGAGGGGAGGGCAGGGGAGGGGAGGGGAGGGATTGAAGAAGGTAGGAGTGGGACTGATGAGGGAATGCAGAGAGGAAGACGCGAATGTTGATCGCCACTTGCATGGAGCTGATGGCCATGAAGGGGGTATGGGCGGGGAGGGGTTGGGAGAAGGGGAAGGCGAGA